GCGGTTGCGGTTGCGGTTGCGGTTGTGGTTGTGGTTGTGGTTGTGGTTGTGGTTGTTGTTGTTGTTGTTGTTGCTGCTGCTGCTGCTGCTGCTGCTGCTTGCGGCCGCTGCTGCTATTGCTGGTGTGGTTGTGGTGGTCGATGCAAGACCGACTGCTTTGCAGAGCATTCACATGCAGCACGCAGCGCGGCAAAGGTACTCAACCAGTCACCTGAGGTTGGCTACATATCAAGCCACGTCACCATTTCTCCTGCACTGGCGCTGCTGCAGGCTCCTCAGGAAAGTTCTGCTGAAGCACGCGGGAGCTTCCCAACACAACGAGACACTTCTGGAGGCTAGGCTAGCGAAGCTAGCAAGCGAGCAGAAAGCTTGTGCGTCCTCAGTAGGTCCACTTCGGGGTGCTTTGCACCCCAAACGCCCAACACCTCCGCACACGTCGTTGCCGGCCTGCAGGGCAAGATTTGCTTTCTCAAGGGCATGATTAGAGGGGGGCTTCTCGCTTCCGTGATGGCACGCTTGGAACTTTAGTACTGCTACAAGGTGCAAGAGCGGCACCTGATTTCTCCATCCACAACCTAGCAAGCAGGTCACTGGCGAGTCGCTTGGCCCTGGATCAAACTGAGCAAAGGGACTGCCGCAGACCCAAGCTCCAGCAGGAACAGCTCCTTGGGATCCTTGGTCCCGAATGTATCAGATTGCGGCTCACGCCCAGGCCTATCAATGACCAAGGCGCCCGAAGCGAAGGCTTTTTCCAGCTCCTCCTTGCCCAAAGATGCAGCCGGTACTTGAGTTTCGGGCCTTGGAGCCCCGCATCCCTTCTCGCCATCACCGCCACAACGTTTGTTTGTGGCACGGTTTCGGAAGCCGCAAGCACAAACCCAAACGCCTGGCGGTAACAATTGCTTCGGGGCTCCATAGCCTTCCGAGGCCGAGCTTCCGGCAGCTTGAGCTTCTGATGTCTGAGACTCGTCTGTCCGAGTCCGAGGTCTGCCATCAGGTCTCGGTAGCCCGCAGCCAAGCCGGCCAGTGCCACCACAAGAAGCGTTGGATCCACGGTTGCGGAAGCCACACACGCAAGTCCATTCGGGCATCTCCTTTCCACTTTGGGAATGAGGGGTCTGTTGCTCAGGTGCAATGAGAGTTGCAGCAGGTTTCTCTTCTGTAGGAGGCCTTAGCCATTCCAAGGGCGATGCGGCCTGAGCGGTCTCAGGCACTTGCTGAAACATCTCCTTCTGCAAACGGCTCAGCAGCGCCAGCTCCAAGTCATCAGGTGGAAGCTCAGCGGCTTGTGAAGCGGCTGCTCGGCTTGGTGGATCATGGGAATGGGGCTCCTCCTCGGCCTGGAGCACGAACTCGGCCAGTTGCGCGCTCAAGTCTTCTGCAAGGCCTCCCTCTCGTGGCCGTGGTTTTTTACAGCCAAGCTTGCCAGCACCACCGCAAACGGAATTAGAGTCACGGTTGCGGAAGCCGCACTCACAAGTCCAAGTCGTCGTTGCACTGGTTGCCAGCATTTAGCTTGTCCAAAATTCTCCAATCAGGCAAGGTCAGCCATGTGGACCAAAAAAGGAATGGCAGCTGAATTCAGATGGAACTTGCAATCTGTCTCGGGCCAATTGAGCGGGGGTCAAAATTCTTAT